CCCAATAAAGTTCCCAGTAATGTTCCCGGTAAAGTTCCCAGTAATGTTCCCGGTAAAGTTCCCAGTAATGTTCCCGGTAAAGTTCCCAATAAAGTTCCCAGTAATGTTCCCAATAAAGTTCCCTGTAATGTTCCCAGTAAAGTTCCCAGCTCCAAGAAGAGTTCCCTCTTAACAGAGATTTGATCTTATTCAAGAAATGCAGAACTAGAAGTTATTTATTTATATTTTCAATTTAGGAAATCTTTGGAAATTCAATCATTTTGGGGGAACAGGTGAGGCTACAGGGTTATGGGTGGAGCTATGGGTGGGACTTCTGGGATATGGATGGAGGTTTGGGGTTACGGGTAGGTATACAGTACATGGTTGTGGGTGGAGCTATAGGTTTGTGGGTGGGGACACATGGTTATGGGTGGAGCTATGTAGTTATTGGTTGGGCTAAGGGGTTATGGGTGTGGCTATGGGTTTGTGGCTGGGGATACATGGTTATGTGTGGAACTACATGGTTATGGGTGGAGCTATGGGTTTGTGGGTGGAGCTACATGNCCCTCCTCTCCAGGACCCCTGAGTAGATCTTACCAGGGAGGCTCAGAAGTGTGGTCCCCTTATAGTTGGAACACACTCTGTGGCCCCCTTTTGAAATAGGGGAGCCACCACCCCAGTCTGCCAATCTAGGCGAACTGCTCCCAATGTCCATGCGATGTTGTAGAGTCGCGTCAACCAACATAACCCCACAACATCCAGAGCCTTAAGGAACTCTGGGTGAATCTCATCCACCCCYGGCGCCCTGCCACCGAGGAGCTTTATAACCACCTCAGTGACCTCGRCACCAGAGATTGGAGAGTCCGACCCAGGGTCCCCAGGCTCTGCTTCCTCATGGGAAGACGTGTYGGTAGGATTGAGGAGGTCTTTGAAGTATTCTGTCCACCAACCCACAACATCCCAAGTTGAGATCAGCAGCGCACCATCCCCACCATAAACAGTGTTAGTGGTGAACCGTCCACCCACACCTCCTCGGCGCCTCTCAGCATGGGCAACTCCAGAGTGGAAGAGTGTGCAACCCCTCTGGAGGAGACTGGTTCCAGAGCCAGAGCGGTRCATCGAGGTGAGTTCAACTAGATCTAGCTGGAACCTCTCAACCTCACACACCAGCTCAGGCTCCTTCCCCACCAGAGAGGTGACATTCCACGYCCCTAGAGCAGCTTCTGTAGCCGAGGATCTGACCACCAAGGTCCTCGCCTTTGACTTCTGCCCAACACACATAGTACCCGACCCCTACGGCCCCTCCCACTGGTGGTGAGCCCATGGGAAGGGGGACCCACGTCTCCTCTTTGGGCTGTGCCCGGCCTCTCCCTGGGCTGCCAGCTTGTCATGGTGGAGAGGTTTGAGTATCTCAATGATCCTAAGAGCTATGTTGTCAGGGGCTTCATGCCCCCAGTAGGGTCACTCAAGGAAAACAGGTCGTAGGTGAGGGATCAAAGTGTAGCCCAAAGACCCCTTTGATGAACAACAAAAATGGATCTAGTGTCACTGAAACASCTGATTAATAATATGTCTCTAAAAGTTTGTAGAACTTGAAACATGAAGAACCAGAAAAGATAAAGTATTTTGTCTCCAGGGGAACAGGAAGTGGATACTTGTGATCGGACTCTGCATTTAAACTGAATGAAAGAATAAACAGTTTGTTTATGGGCCACTACTTTTAATCCAGTCAGTTTTGTTTTGTTGTTTTTATTTACACAAAGTTTTTTAGTTATAATCACTTTTTTACAGAACACTCATTTCTTCACAGACCTCCTTGTTTTTTCCTGGTCTTCTCTAGAACCTGTAGAACAGTTTTGGAGCCACTCAGTGGACTTGTTGAGTCCTTGTCCCATAGGGGACAGGCGAGTCCCACCTGAGACACAGGCGGCTGAGCAGGATCTCAGAGTACACCTGGTTTATTGGTCCTCTAACGTGATAAGTAGGGGGATTCCGTCCTTCAGCCTGATCCATGTCCTGCACGGTAGACTGGTTGCTAAGTCCAGGTTCCGTTCTGATGGTTCTGGTTCTGGGTGTCACCTTGTTTGAGCGTGYTGTGGACTGGACCTTCTCCACCTGACAAAACACAACACTTGCTTTGAGTCAGACCAGTTTTATCTGTTGGAACCTGTTCATTACATGTTCCCAGTAAAGTTCCCAATAAAGTTCTCAGTAAAGATCCCATTAATGTTCCCAATAAAGTTCCCAGTAATGTTCTCAATAAAGTTCTCAGTAATGTTCCCAGTAAAGTTCCCAGTAATGTTCCCGGTAAAGTTCCCAGTAATGTTCCCAATAAAGTTCCCAGTAATGTTCCCAATAAAGTTCCCAGTAATGTTCCC